GCACTCTTTCGGTTCACCTTTCTTTGGAATGGGAACAAACATCTATCTCTTCCAGTCAGTTGGCCAGGTGGCCATAGAAGAGGAATCAACTCAGAGCTAACCTTCTATTGAGTTTCACAAGCTGTAATTCAGACAGGAGATCGTCTATCTTTATTCCATGAAGCCACTGGTAGATTTGAAACACAAGAGAAATTCTGCTTTTGGGTTAGCAGCACAAGTCATTATGAACTCCTATTGTTGGTTTATGTTGTTAAATTGCTTGTGATGCATAACAACCCTATGTACAACAGCTCTGAACCCTGCTCTATCTTAAGCCAACTTCATTGTCTCTGACACACCTACCCCCATTAGTCACTGAGTCAGGCTATCTCAACAAGGGTCCTCCTCTCTTGCGCTGTCCCTTCACCCTTCCAAGAATGTCCCTTTCCAAGGACTAGTCCCTCTTAGAAACATGTCCAAAGTATGTCAGACAGAGCTTCAGAATCCTTGCCTTCAAGCAGTAGCTTGATTTATCAGAATAACATACTATAAATAATACTATTGTTAATTTGGGGCTTGGGGATGGAATAATACCTGGCTGCTACCTCTTCTTTTGCAGTTTGGGCCGTAGAACTCCTATTCCATGCCACCATTATTATTCTGTTTATTTTGTATCTTACCATCTAAGGAATAGAAAAGGGAACTCTTGTGGCCCAGAACTAAGAAGCTGCACTCCAATCCCAAAGGTACAAGGTTTGACTACACCAGATGCTTCATAGAAAACGAAAGGATCATCTCCCACGAGATATAAGTGCCTCTGAAAACCCACTAAAGCGTCAGCTATGAATCAGTTCCGACTTAAAAGCACAAAACAAAGAGTATTATATGTAGTATCACCTTTTTTGGGCAAGCGAAAAGGAAATGTTCGTAGAGTGATCTGCACCATACTTATTATTCATAATATCCTTACACATACACACCCCTCAAAATAACCTTTTTTTCTATTAGGTACGAACAATGTTTTCAGGGAATTGAAACCTATTCAATGTGGTTTATTTTTTTTCCAATAAAATAACAAGGCTGTTGATATCTTCTATTAAGAGATCAATAGAAAACTGCATCATTCTCCACAAAATTATAATTATATATATATTATATATGCTGTTGTTGATTCCCTCGAGTAGAGCATGACACATAGCAACCGTATAAACAAAAGGCCTGACGTCTTTCTATAATTATTGACAGTTATCAAAGTTTATAGAGTTTCCAGAGGCATGTTGCTTAGGAAGTTGATGCCACTCCTGCTTTTGAGTATTATATATATTATTAAATATAATTCTATCTATCTATCTATATCTTTTTAAAGCTCTTACTATATGACAGGACTAGACTAAGCACTTATGTATGCCATTATTCTATAATGTCTTTCTATATGAAAAATGAGAAAGGAAGCATTTAACTTTGATTGCACCTGGCAATCATCTTACATGATCAAACACAGTAATCAGTCTTGAGAATTTGCTAACATGCCACCAAAAGTAACACGACTTCTTAATGAAATTTCTTAACTGAAGCAAGTGCAAAAGATAGACTTTATACTATAGGAGATTATATTTTCTTGTTATTTTACCAACTTCAGATTAGGGTTTCTGAGGTTTTTGCCCAAAGCATTTACAGCAACATACTGTAGTAGAAAAAAAAAATTAATGAAAAGCAAAGAACCCACATCTATCTAACTCAGGAAATCTAAGAACCTATATCTATCTAGCTCAGAAGATTTAGAGAAAAGGTTGTTAATCCTTCTAAATCCTTCCTTCATTTACACAGAATGCTAAGTAGTTATAAGAATAATATAGAAATATTTCCATCTTAGCTAAAAATGTTGATACCTAAAATTCTCCAAAGGAATACTTAAGAGTAAAGGCTTAAAAATTCAATGTCACAATGAGATAAAATCCAATAAAAGCTCTGAACTATGAAGCAGAAAAACGTCAAGAATTCTAACATATCAAATATTTTGAATAACTGAAGTCTCAGAAAAGTTAAGTGTGCACTTCCCTAAGGTAATTCTGATAAAAATTAGCCTAACATGAATGTTTGTTAGTCTTTAAGTATGTGTGAACAAGTAAAAGTTCTTTATAAGAATTCTTCAAAACAACCCAATAGCAAAATGGGCACAGGATGTGAATAGACACTTCATAAAAAAATTCAGATGGGAAACAAACACATGAAGAAATGTTCAAAATCTCTAGCTCTAAGACAGATGCAAATCAAGACAACTATGAGATATCATCATCTCACTCCAGTAACAATAACAAAGTTCAACAGAACAGCAAACAACAAATGCTGGCGAGATTGAGGAAAAACTGGAACTCTTATTTACTGTTGGTGGGAATATAAAAGGTGCAAACACTGTAGAAAACAATATGGCACTTTCTCAAAATTTTAGAAACAGAAATATCATTTAACCCAGCAATTCCACTACTGGGACTATACCCTAAAGAAAACATAACTGCCATCCAAACAAATATATGCAAACCCATGTTTTTTGCTGTGTTGTTCACAATAGCAAAAGGATGGAAACAACCCAAGCTGTCCATCAATAAATGGGTAGAGAAGATGTGGTATATTACACAGCACTCAATGGAATATTACACAGCACTCAAAATAGGAACCCATAAAAGATACAAAATGGGTGACCTGGAGGACATTATGCTGAGTGAAATATCTTAGTCACAAAACGCCAAATACTGCATAATGCCACTATTATAAAACAGGATTGACATGGGGTTGGAGTAACTAGGAAAAAGAGGGGATAAATAATGTACACTACATTGAAACACATGAGGGAAAGAATTGTGTAAAAGGAATATATTATTAGGTATAATCTGCGTGACAACAGTCCAGAACAGAGGTGCTAAGGAAAGTGGGCTGCGGAGGGGGTGGGAACTGTGCAACAATCTTTTTAAAGAGAAAAGAGAACTGGGGTGGAAGGAGGAAAATGTGCAACAATGAATGAATGCAAACCCAAGTTCTCGGTAAACTTTTGTTAAAATCTCAATAAAAAATTTTAAAAAGGGATGCTTCAGAGAGGATGACTTAAGAAGGAAAGGAACACTTTCAATCAGTCATAGAACACTGTTTTTCACTGCTTCACCTGATTAAAGGGGAATTTATTAAAATGTATCAAATTTTCCATTTTCATTTTTCACTAAAGTGGAGCTTTGCACTCATATAATTATTTAAGATAATGACATTCTATATTTTTCCATTCTTTTGCCACTTAAATGCATTTCCTAAGCAATATTCACCAAAATCACTATTAAAACCACAACTTCAACATCATGTTTTGAGAAAACTGTAATTACTGTAATACCATAAAATAAATCAAGCCACTCTTTTGTACTATAAAACATTCTAAGATTCTTGGATGGCTAACAAACAATGAGACTATAAATGGAGGTTAAATATTGAAGATGGTAAATCTGAATTCACTTTCCATTTTTAAATCTGACATTCCACAGTACATAGTTGAGAAAGTTTGCTCTAAACTTGGAGGAAAACTATTAACTCCCAGGTATTCCTTATTTTCTACCTTCCTTAAACTTAATCCTGGATACCAGTATTTAAGTGTACTTACCATGGACCCTAGGACCACTCAGTATTCTAAATTCTTCACAATTCACTTATGATAACAATTTTGGCCATCTCTCTTTGATAAAATCAGTAATGTATCATAAAAGGTAGAAACTTCCTTAATTTCCTACTTTAAAAATCTAAGGCCAGCAAACTCTAGTGGCCTAGTGGCAAGAAGCTGCACCGCAATCCCAGAGGTACACAGTTCAAATCCACCAGATGTTCTGCTGGAGAAGGAGGGAAAATCTCCTACTGTACTAGTCAGATTCTATTTGATGGTACACACACAAAAAAATAGTAATTTTTTTTATAAAAAAAAATGTAGTTCAAGTAGGCACTTTTAAGCATAGTTTTTTTAAAAAAAAATCTTTAGCAGTTTCTTATTACCCATTGTCATAGGGTGAATTCCAACTCTTAATATCCATCCATCATTCTTTGTGGGTTTTGCAGAAGAAGATACCTCATCTTCCTTCCACTGAGGTGGACTTGAACTACTGACCTTTGTGTTACCAGCACAACATATAATGTACCAGCACTACATATAACATGTAGTATGCCACAAGAGCTCTTAGTTTTTTATTAGTGGATTCAAACAACCCATTGTAAGGTCATCGTTTATCATTCTCTTTGTTTTTAATTGTTTGCTCACTCAGTCACTCTCTATTTGTCCTTAACATCAAAATAATTTGAAAGAGAGATATTGAAAATTCACTATAACTCACACTTTTTCAAAGAATCTTTAACCCTTTACATAATGTTGTGCATAAAACCACCGTTTTCATTACAAGCCCATGAATGTGTAAAGTAATATACAACACACAGCACAATACTCAATTAAAAATTTGGTAATATTTTTCCACTGGAAGCACTATACTTAAAACAACAACGTAGTATATCTTTCCAGTAACATTTATTCATAATTATCAGGGCAAATGCCTTGTAGAGTGTGCTCATTTTAATAATCTTAAGATGAGACATACTCTGCTAGAAAATTATTTCTAGTGCACTAATGCAAATGAATAGTCAATGATTAGGTCAAAGATATATAGCATTTTTAAGGAGCGCCTTCAGACCTTTGTAGTAGTGCCCAGTCCCCTAATGGATGGTATTCAAACTGAAATGGAAACTTTCAAACTTTCCTGGTGAGAAGGATGAGATTGTTTCTTTTTAATTTTTCTTAAAAAAGGGGGATGGTACATAAAGTATAATAGTAACCACAGATAAACTTGGGACTCTTGTTGTATCATCTAATTCATTTACTTGTGAACTTCCAATACAAAGTTCAACATTTCTCAATGCTCTAATCAGCAAACCACCAACCTTTCCACACACATAAAGAAACCAAAGTAGAGGGGATTAATATGAAACACACTAGAACAACCTACCTTTAAACTAGACTCATAGTCTGTGTTCACTTTGAAGATAAGCCCAAGTCGTAAATGAATTTCCTTGGCTCGACAAAAGCTGGGATCAACATAAAGCACCTCTTGAAATGCTTTAATTGCCCTGAAAGATACAGACATATCTTACTTTTTAACACTTACATGAGATTTTGCTTGATAATACAGTAAAACTTCTGTTGTATGCAATACTACTTTAAAGGAAATATCAGTTTTTTAAAAATGACATGAATGAATAAATATTAAGAAAAAGAATGGGGCATTAGAAAGGTGCTGCTGGATGTTTTATATAACTGCACGATCCAAGTTAATATTACAGGAGAAAAGGACTATCAGTTGAATTTCCTATTATTCAAACAATATTTTAGAGCACTTTCAGTGTAAATACCTGATTTTACATTTGCTAGGAATTCTAGAATAATTTCGAGAAATTCCAGTAATGTGGAAGTTTTGTGTTTCAGGGAAAAAAGATCTATACTGTTTCTAGTATGTGCCATATGTCTTTCACATTAAGGTTTAAAATGGATTTTGTGTGCACAGGGTTCTGGTTGTTATTGTGTGTTGTCAATGTTTTTGTTATTGTTTTGTGCCATCAAGTCACTTTCAACTCATAAGACCCTATGTACAACAATCTTATACCCTGCTCTATCCTGTGCCAAGCTTATTGTCTCTGAAACACCTACTCACATTACCCCAGTCACTCAATCAACCCTTTTCATCAAGGGTCTTCCTCTCTTTTGCTCTCCCTCCACCCTTCCAAGCATGATGCCCCTTTCCAAGGGCTGGTCCCTCCTTGTAAAAATGTATGTCAGACAAAGCTTCAGAATCCTTGCCTCCACAAAGCAGCCTGGTTTCACCCTCAGGTCAAACCTGTTTGTGCTCCTGACAGTCCATGGTATGTTCAATACTCTTCTCCAGCACCACAATTCAAAGGTATCAATTCTCCTTCTATCATCCCCAGTCACTGTGCAGCTTTCTGATGCATAGCAAGCAACTGCAAAGGCAATTACCTGAACAAATTAAAGCTGTTAATCTCAATCTCTTCACCATCTAGAACAATGCTGCGAATCAGCCTAGTGGTGAGAATCTGTTTTCTTGATGTTGAGCTCAATCCATATTGAAGGCTGCAGTCCTTGACCTTCTGCAGCAAGTGTTTCAGATTCCCTTCAGTATTAGCAAGCAGGGTTGTGTCATCTGCTTAACATAGGTTGCTGATGAATCTTCCTCCAATCCTGACACCACACTCCTCTTCATAGAACTCAGCCTCCCAGATAATCTGTTCTGCATGTAGATTAAAAAGATAAGGAGATAGGACACATCCCTGGCATATACCCTTTCAAATTTTGAATCATGCAGTGGTTCCTTGCTCTGTTCTGATGATTGCCTCCTAGTTCAAATATAGGGTTCGCATAAGCACAATCAAGTGTTCTCCGAGTCTTCTCAGAGTTAGCCAGTTTGTTGTGATTCACACAGTCCAATGCCTTTGCGTAGTCAATGAAACACAGATTTCTCTGGTACTCTCTGCTTTCAACCAAGATCCACCTAACACTAGATATAATATTCCTAGTACCACGGCCTCTCCTAAAACCCAGCCTGCACTTCAGGTAGTGCTATGGTGATGTGCTGTTCCAGCCGTTTTTGGATAATTTTGAGCAAAATCTTGCTTGTATGTAATATTAAAAATAGTGTTCCATAATTTTCGTACTCTGTTCAGTCACCTTTCTTTGGAATGGGAACAAATGCAGAGCTCTTTCAGTCAGTTGGCCAGGTGGTTGTCCTCTGGGTTTCTTGGTATACAACTTGGATATCGGATGAAATATGTCAATTGGTATGCCATCAATTCCTGCGACCTTGTATTTGCCAATTCTTTCAGAGCAGCTTGAACTTCTTCATCACCACAGGCTCTTGCTCATATGTTGTTTCATGAAATTCTTCTGTGTCCACCAATTCCTGATGGTACAATAACTCTGTATACCCTTTCCATTTTCTTTTAATGCTTCCTGGATAATTTACTTTTCTGTCCAAAGCATCCTTAAGTATTTCAACTCGAGGCTTGAATTTGTTCAATTCCTTTAGCTTAAGAAATGCTGAGCAAAACAACTATGAGATATCATCTCACCCTAGTAAGAAGAGCAAAATTTAACAGAACAGCAAACATCAAATGCTGGCAAGGTTGTGGAGAAAATGGAACCCTTATTCACTGTTGGTGGGAGTGTAAAATGGTGTAACCACTATGGAAGGCAGTATGGTGCTTTCTCAAAAAGATGCAAATAGAAATATAATTTGACCCAGCAATTCCACTTCTGGGAATTTACCCTAAAGAAACCATAACTGCATACCCATGTTTATTGCAGCTTTGTTCACAAAAGCAAAGAACTGGAAATAACCCAAGTGCCCATCAACAAATGAATGGATAGAGAAGCTTTGGTATATTCACACAATGGAATACTATGTACCATTGAAAAACAAGGAACTCATGAAATATTATGCAAAATGGACGACCCTGGAGGACATTATGCTGAGTGAAATACCTCCGTCATAAAGGACAAATATTGCATAGGGCCTCTGTTTATTGCATTGAAACAGATGAGGGAGAGAACTGTTTAAAAAGGATATATGAATGGGTATTCCTGTCATTACAGAAGTCCAGAGTAAAGGCTGCCTATGCAGTGGACTTGGGGAGAGAGACTGCATAACAATGAAAGAGTTTTTCTTTTCAAGGAGAACAGTGAATTGGGGGAGGAGAGGGTGGGCAGGGAGAAAAGTGCAATAATGAATGATGGGAAACCCTAGGTCTCTGTAAATGTTCATTAAAATTAATTTTTAAAAAAAGAAATGCTGAGCGAGTTCAGTCCCTTTGATTTTCTGGCTCCATCTCTTTGCATATTTCATTAAAATATTTTACTTTGTGTTCCTGCGCTACCCATGGTGTGGTTTTTAGTTTTTCTCCATACAGAGATTCAATAATCTCTAAACCATTTGTAGAAAAGACCATCCTTGCACATCAGCTGTACAGTTTAGTATTTGTCCTAAAGCAAATATGAATATTCAGGTGGTTCTATTTCAAGGTTCTCTATTCTGTTTACCATGTACTCCTCTATCAATTTGTCTTTCATCAAATTCACATTTTATCTTTTATAACTGACCTTGATAGGAAATTACACGTTTATCTTTTAACTACGTAAACATTATTACTTGCTTAAAATATATTATTAAAATGATGGTTGTTGTTGTTGTTATGTGCCATCGAGTCATTTGCGACTCATAGCGACCCTATGCACAACAGCCCTAAACCCTGCTCTATCCGGCACCAACCACACTGCCTCTGACACACCCATCCCGATTACCCCAGTCACCGAATCAATACATCTCATAGAGGGTCTTCCCCTCCTGCACTGTCCCTCCACCCTCCCAAGCATGATGTCCCTCTCCAAGGACCCATCCTGGCAACATGTCCAAAGTATGTCAGGCGAAGCCCTAGAATCCTTGCCTCCAAGGAGTTGCTTGGTTTAATCCTCTCCAAGATGAATCTGTTTGTTTTCCTGGCAGTCCATGGTACATTCAGTACTCTTCTCCAGCACCACAGCTCAAAGGCATCAACTCTCCTTCTGTCCTCCCTAGTCATTGTCCAACTCTCTGATGCATAACAAGCGATTGCAAATACCATGGCAGGCACACCTTAGTCTCCAGAGAGACACCATTGCTCCTGAATACTTTAGAGAGGTCCCTAACAGCCGACTTTCCCATCGCGATACGCTTTTTTATTTCCTGACTGCTGGTGCCAAGAGTGTTGACTGTGGAGCCGAGCAAAGTGAAGCTGTGAACAATCTCAATCTCTTCGCCATCCATCCTGACGCTGCCAATTGGTCCAGTGGCGAGAATCTTTGTCTTCTTGACATTGAGCCTCAGTCCATACTGAAGGCTGCAGTCCTTGACCCTTCGCAGCAAGTGCATGAGGTCCTCCTCAGTTTCAGCAAGCAGGGTTGTGTCATCTGCATAACGGAGATTGTTAATAGACCTTCCACCAATCCTGATGCCACAATTCTCCTCATAGAGCCCAGCCTCTCGGATAATCTGCTCTGCATACATGTTGAAAAGGTATGGAGACAGGATGCATCCCTGGCGTACACCCTTCCCAATTTTGAACCATGCAGCGTTGCCCTGCTCTGTTCTGACTACTGTCTCTTGGTCCAAGTATAGGTTTCGTATTAGCACAATTAAATGTTCTGGGATTCCCATCCTTCTCAGAGTCAGCCACAGTTTGTTATGATCCACACAGCCAAATGCCTTAAATTTGTATATAATATTTGGAATATCAGCTATGTTGTGTTGTGGTTACAGGTCATCCAGTCACCTGAAACTCATAGTAAACACTGCAATAGCTCCTAACCCTGCCCTATCCTGAGCCACTCTTTTCTTCAACAGACCTAATCTCATTTCTTCAGTCCCTGAGTCAATCCATCTCATCCTGAGTCTTCCACTCTTGCCCTGTCCCTCCACCCTTCCAAACATGATGTTCTTCTCCACAGAGTGGTCCCTCCTGGCCAAGTGCCCAAAGTATGTGAGGCGGAGCTTACAAATCCTTGCCTCCAGGGAACAGCCTGGTTTCACCATCTCCAGAATAGACCTGTTCTCTGGCAGTCCAAGGTATGTTCAACACTCTTTTCTAGCACCAAAATTCAAAGCAGAATGTTTATTAACACTTTAAATATTTCATGATTTTAAGCTTTCTTCCCAAGTAGGAGGTGGAACATTTTTTTGACAAACTGTTCACTTATTCTTTACTACTAAAAACATTTTGTGCTCATGTGAAATCTACACTATGACCAGGAAACAATCATCAGATCAGAGCAAGGAAACACTTAATAGTTCAAAATCAAGAATGTGGACCATTCAGGAGGTCTGACTTTCTGAAGAGGAATATGGCACCCAGGATTGGAGGGAGACTCATCAACAACTTGTGTTATGCTTGCAAAAACTGAGGAGGACCTATAGCATTTGCTGCTGAAGATCAAGGACTGTAATCTTCAATAAGGATTGAAACTCAACATCAAAAAGACAAAGAATCTCAGCACTGGTCCAAATGGTAGCACCACAATAGATGGA